TATTAAAAAAAAAAAGTAGAGAATTCAGGATTTCATCGCAAGTGGACGGTATGCCTTCATTTTTCTTTAAAAAATTTTTTAATACAATTTTTAAAGGTTACTTTCCGCTTACAGTTACTACAGAATATTGACTATATTCCCTGTGTTCTACAGTACCTCCTTGAACCTATCTTACACCCAGTAGTTTGTACCTCCCGCTCCCCTACCCTTATGTTGCTCTTCTCCCCACTGGTAACCACTAGTTCTCTATATCTGTAAGTCTGCTTCTTTCTTGTTATATTCACTAAATTTGTTGTATTTTTTAGATTTCACATATAAGTGATATCATACACATATAAGTGATTTTCTCTGATTTATTTCACTTAGTATAATGCCCTCCAAATCCATCCACGTTGCTGCAGATGGTAAACTTTCATTCTTTTTTATGGCTGAGTAGTATTCCATTGTATATATATGCACCACCTATTCTTTATCCATTCATATGTTGATGGACACTTAGGTTTTTTCCCTGTCTTGGCAATTGTAAATAATGCTGCTGTGAACATTGGGGTGCATGTATCTTTTCAAATTCATTTTTGTTTTTCCCAGATGTATACCCAGTAGTGGAATTGCTGGGTCATATGGTAGTTCTATTTTTAGCTTTTTGAGAAACCTCCGTACTGATTTCCACAGGGGCTGCACGAATTTACATTCCTACCAACAGTGTACGAGGGTTCGCTTTTCCCCACATCCTTGCCAACATTTGTTATTTGTGTTCTTTTTGATGATAGCCATTCTGTGACAGGTGTGAGATCATTGTGGTTTTGATTTGCATTTCCCTGATGATTAGTGATGTTGAGCATCATTTCCTGTGCCTGTTGGCCATCTGCCTTTCTTCTTTGGAAAAATGTGTATTCTTCTGCCCATTTCTAAAATTGGGTTGTTTGTCTTTTTGATGTTAAGTTGTATGAGCTGTTCGTATATGTTAGATATTAATCCCTTATCGGTGATATCATTTGCAAATATTTTCTCCCATCTACTAGACTGTCTTTGTTTTGTCAGTGGTGTCCTTTGTTGTGCAAAAGCTTTTAAGTGTAATTAGGTCCCCTTTGTTTGTCTTCACTTTTATTCCCTTTAGGAGATGGATCCAAAAAAATATTGCTTCAATTTATGTCAAAGAGTGTTCTGCCTATGTTTTCCTCTAGGAGTTTTATAGTATCCATTCTTACATTTAGGTCTTTAAGCCATTCTGAGTTTATTTTTGTATATGTGTTAGAGAATGTTCTGATTTCATTCTTTTACATGTAGCTGTACAGTTTTCCCAGCATCACTTATTGAAGAAACTGTCTTTTCTCCATTGTATATTTTTGCCTCCTTTGTCATAGGTATTGTAGATTAACTGACCATAAGTGTATGGGTTTATTTCTGGTTTTTCTGTCCTGTTCTATTGATCTGTATGTCTGCTTTTGTGTCAGTACAAAATCATACTGTTTTGATTACTGTAGCTTTGTAATATAATCTGAAGTCAGGGAGAGTTATTCCTCCATCTCTCTTCTTTCTCAAGATTGTTTGGCTATTCGGGGTCTTTTGTGTTTCCATGTACATTTTAAAATTATTCTAGTTCTGTGAAAAATGCCATTGGTAGTTTGATAGGGATTGCAGTGAATCTGTAGATTGCCTTGGGTAGTATAGTCATTTTAACAGTATTGATTCTTCCAGTCCATAAACACGGTATGCCGTTCCATCTGTCTGTGTTGTCTTCAATTTCTTTCATCAGCATCTTAATAGTTTTTGGAATACAGGTCTTTTGCCTCCTTAGGTATGTTTATTCCTAGGTATTCTATTCTTTTTGATGCAATGGTAAATGAGATTGTTTCCTTAATTTCTGTTTCTGATAATTTGTTGTTAATGTATAGAAATGCAACAGGTTTCTGTGTATTAATTTTCTTTAATTAATTTATTTATTTTTGGCTGCAGTGGGTCTTTGTTGCTGCATGCGGGCTTTCTCTAGTTGCGGCGAGTGGAGGCTACTCTTAGTTGTGGTGTGCGGGCTTCTCATTGTGGTGGCTTCTCTTGTTGCGGAGCGTGGGCTCTAGGCACGCGGGCTTCAGTAGTTGTAGCACATGGGCTCAGTAGTTGTGGCTTGCAGGCTCTAGAGAGCAGGCTCAGTAGTTGTGGCACATGGGCTTAGTTGCTCCGTGGCATGTGGGATCTTCCCGGACCAGGGCTCGAACCCGTGTCCCCTACATTGGCAGGCAGATTCTTAACCACTGCGCCACCAGGGAAGTCCCCAGTGTATTAATTTTGTATCCTGAAACATTGCTGAATTCATTGATGAGCTCTTGTAGTTTTCTGGTACCATCTTTAGGATTTTCTATGTATAGTGTCACGTCATCTGCAAACAGTGAGTGTTTTACTTCTTCCTTTCCAATTTGGATTCCTTTATTTCTTTTTCTTTGATTGCTTGGGTAGGACTTCCAAAACTGTGTTGAATAAAAGTGACGAGAGATCCTTGTCTTGTTCCTGATCTTAGAGTGAGTGCTTTCAGCTTTTCACAGTTGAGTGTGACGTTAGCTGTGGGTTTGTCATATGCCTTCATTTTTCAAAAAACGGTGCTCAGATCTGTTCTGGTTAAGGGAACTAAACTATAAAAGTTTTACAAACTTAGGCACATGTGGAGCCTTTTTATTTAGTCTCCTAGTATACTTGAATGACTTACAGAAATGTTTTAAAAACGTTAGATTTTTAACTATTTACAATTTATTGTTGAAACTGTGTTTGGCAATACGCCTTCAAATATTCTGAAATTGTTATATTCTTGTCAGGATCCCTGAGTTTTTTTTTTTAACCCCAATTATCTCCTTGAATACCCATATTCACACAGCTCACTAGAGCAGGGAGAGGCACCTGCTAGAGCAGGGAGAGGCACTGGTCTTTGACTAAAGCGTGTGTTTCGAAGATTCTAGTCAAAGGATAGGAGAGATTGGTGGTAGGAAAAATGACCACAGCTCAACTCTGACAAAGGACGATGTACTCTTTAGCCTCCTCTGACCTTGTGAAGCGAGGGAACAAGGAAGTTCTCTACTTTGTGTTTTACTTGTGTTTGTACCTTTTATTGCTGAGTCACCATAAATTCATGTGACTTCACACATTTTCTCTCCCCTTTGATATGTAACGAAAGACACCATTCATTACTCACTTCAGATGCAGTGGAAGACCCAGCATATAGAAATGTCAGTTATTGTTTAAAAAAAAGCCTCAAAAGACTAAGCTTTGAATTTTCTGTTCAGAGAGTGGGGTTAATAATTAGGAAGATTCACATGGCTCCTGATAAAATAATTTTACCCACTTGCTCAGAAAAGCAGCAAGGCTTTTACTTGCATAAATCGTTTTTCTTTTTTTTTTTGAAAAAGTCATTATTCTTTACCCTTACAGAAACAACTTTTACCTGAAAAATCTTGTAAGCATTTTTTTCCCCCAGAGAGAAAAACAGGCTGTTTTTGCCAAGTTCCTGTAGTGACTGGTTAGCAAAGGTGTGAGTGAAATCTCGACTTTCTACTTTCTTCTCTCTGTCCTGTCTTTTATACTGATGAACAATTTTTAGGCCTCCACAGGATATGTAATTATTTGTCAGTGATAGAATGAGCTACAGCTCAAGCAAATACTCAGGGCACGTGGTTGCTTGATGTTGAAATTCTGGCTTCCTTAGTGTCATTTAGGTCTTATGCTTCAGGAATTAATTTCTTAAAACATAAAATCTCTGAAGATAAAACTGACTTTTTGTACGATAAAAGATCTTGAAAGGATATATCTTAATCTTTATGGCAGAGATTGTCTTTAAGGTGTGCTTGGTATGAAATCACAAAGAGAAAAGTCTTTTGAGTTGTTGGGTCTTTGGGGATTATGTTATGAACACAGAATATAAGCTTGCTTCTTAAAATCCTCTAAAACCACCTCCCTTTATGTATTGATCTTTGACTTGAATTGAAAAGGGGTTCTTTTCCCTCTATAATGTCATTAAAAAGACATTGGGCCTATGGGTATTGGGTCTTAAATTGGATTTTCTTACAAAGAGAAAAGGAAAAAATGGCTTTGGATGTTAGGGCATAACAAAAACTAGGCCCTTCCTTATGAAAATTGAATTTGTGCCTGTTTTGTGTTAGTACTGAGGCTGTACATCATCCAGGTGATTGCACAGATGCTTATTCATGCGGTTGAGGACACATCTCGGTCTGTGGCTTGAGGGATCTTGTCAGAAGCTAATGATGAGAGGGTGTAGCAGTAGTGCCGACAGTAGCACACGAGACCCTTTTGTTCATTCTCTTGATCATGCCTTTACATTAGGAATCAAAGGCTTTAGAAGCTCAGTGGAAAGAAGCCCCAGTGTGTTGCCCTGATGATGATACTGTCATGGGTTGCTTACTCCTTGATTAAAACCTCCTAGCTGTGTAGTCAATACTATTCAACTATTGGGGAATATAAGACTGAGGAATAAATTGTTAGTTGTCATTAGAGAAAATAATGATGTTATGATTAGAAGAAAGGTTGTATAAGATAATTACAGTCTTGTTCTCCTCATCCCATCATTTATTTTGGAAGACTTGATGCGCTGCCAAGACACACTGCCATGAAATTAGAATAACTGCATAATGTTTTGGTGGCAGCTTCCCGGAGAAGACCTTTGGCTTTGGAGTGGGGGGACCAGCCTGGGTTTGACTTGCCACGTGTGGCTGTGTGGCTGTGAGCTCCTTACTTAAGCTTGCAGGATGTTCGGCGCCCGAATCCTCTAGCGTAGCCCCAGTGTGGAAGAGGTGCTTAGTAAATACTTTTCCCCTTCTTGTCTCTGTGTAAGTTGCCCACTTCCCTCTCCTGGTCCCAGATTCCCAGTGGGATGCTCCTTCAGGCTGATGGAATACGCCGTGTGCCGATGGGGAGAGCATGGCGTTGGCTCCTGTGGATGCGGGCCCTGTGCCGCGCCAACCACTGCGGGTTCCAAATAACACTCCTTCCTTGCCCGGCAGGTGCCTGAGATCATCAGCTCCATCCGGCAGGCCGGGAAGATCGCCCGCCAGGACGAGCTCCGCTGCCCTTCCGAGTTCGATGACACGTTCGCCAAGAAGTTCGAGGTGCTGTTCTGCGGCCGCGTGGCGGTGGCGCACAGGAAGGCCCCGCCCGCCCTGATCGATGAGTGCATCGAGGGCTTCAGCCACGTGAGTGGCGGCGGCTTCTCCTCGGATCAGTTCCGGGCGGCGCCGCAGCTGCCGGGGGACCGGGAGCGGGGCCCACGGCCGATGCGCAAGTCCTTCTCCCAGCCCGGGCTGCGCTCCTTGGCCTTCAGGAAGGAGTTTCAGGATGCAGGCCTGCGGAGTAGTAGTTTTTTCAGCTCCTTCGAGGAGAACGACATCGAGAACCACCTGATTAGTGGACACAATATTGTGCAGCCGACGGATATTGAGGAAAATCGAACTATGCTCTTCACGGTAAAATATTATCAAAGCCTCATGCGCATCCCCAGTCTGATCTGTGTGTTTAAAAGAAAATCTGCTTTATCAAGCAAAGATTCTTTGTGAATTTCTTTTGGATTTATGTGTGAATCCATATGTTTTTATACTGAATAATTCTTTTCTCAAGATAAAATTCTTATTTAGTCCCTAATTAGCCTTTGGAATTCATCAGGGGGTCACATAAAGAGACTCTTATCTTATATCCTCTACGACTTTTATCCCCCTCCCCCATGGTTGTGAAGACACCTTTTCAACGTGGAAAGAAGAATTAATATGCGTAAAAGAGGCCCCCAAAGGAGATTTTAAAAATGGATATTAATTTCAAGTAATGTATTTCAACAAAATCTTTTTGGAGAATACCCCTTCTTTACTATTTTTACTAATTTGTAAAATACTTACCCTTTGTTATCTGGATAATTAGATTTGGGGATAACATGATATTTGAAATTGATACCCAAGCTGAAATATTAGTTTAGCCAATTGCTCACTCATTTTTTTCTAGAAATGGTTTGGTAAACTGACAGCCAACTGCCAGAAAAGGCATGGGCAGGGGAGCTGTCCTTGGCAGTCGCTGTTCCTGGGCTCCAAGCTGATCTCGGCTCTTCTGGTCAGGCTGCCCTCCCTGGGAGTCCTCTGGGTCTGAGCCGATGGGACTCAGCTGGCCCAGTAGCAAGCTGGTCTCTGACAATATAGGGAGTGGATTGTTCCTCGGCCTCCTCTGTCTCTTCTTTGGCCTAAGGCTGACTGACATTCTAGAGAGAGCAACATGAGCTTAAATGTAAAGTCTTGGCGTCCGTGCCTAATTCGGGGCAGTGGATGGCCCAGGGGTGAGGAAGCTGGCTGTGTGGATGTATGCAGGTTCAAGATCAAGATGGGGTGTCAGAGGGCCGATTTCTTCCTCTTTTCATGGTTGACCTAGTATGCTGAAAAGAGTGCTACATTGGCAGTCAGTCTGGTGCTGTAATGTGTGATATATATTTTAAAAAAACAAAACAAAGCAAAAACCCTCTTGGTGTCATTGGGAAAGCTGCTCAGTGCATTTATTTTCAAGTACTTATTATGTGACTGCTGTATACAGGGTCCTGTGTAATACGTTAGGAATACAGCAGTGAACAAGACAGGCATGATCTCTGCCCACGTGGAATTTAGATTCCAATGAGAGACTGGCAATTGATTGTACAGGTAATTGTCCCACTAAAATTGTGATAAATGCCGTAAAGGAGAAGTAAAGGATGCTGTGAGGGCATCTGGGGAATCAGGGAAGACTTTCTTGAGGAAGTGATTTTCACTGAGCAGAGGTTTCATTGTGACCAGCTGGGTTCAGGGCGTAGCAAGGTGAGGGAGGGATGCTGCACAGTTAACAGTGTGGTTATTGCAACACAGTCCCCTGCTGTAATGGAGATCTGTTATGCTGACCCAGGTATGTAAGACAGTGTTAATTTGTGCTAACGCTCTCACTTTTTTAGAAAGTCAGGCAAGCAGTAGTGAATACCTAACACAATATGCATTCAACAAATGGTAGATTGTTTTAACAATAATTTAAGAAGACTTTTCTAATCATTAGGAAGTGTTCTAGAAATCTTGAAAGAGAAGCTCCTGTTTCCTGGGAGGTTCACTCATGTAGAAACCTCTCTTCCTTACAAAGGGGGGATGTGGGAACATGAGGCTTAGTTGCCAACTTCTGTATATTTGGTCCTTTCACCTCAAGACTGCTGCCTGATGTAGGTGAACACACTGATGGTTGTCCGTGCTACCTGAAATCTGTAGGATAGATTGTGACCTTGGAGTGATTTTCTACATGAGATGGTCAGAATTCTATAGGAGCTTGACCCATTGAGTCTTTATTCTCATAGGATATGAAATGAGAAAGTTCGTGTATAAATCTGAATTCAGTGTTCATAAAAAGCTAGTTTCTTTTTTTGTTTGTCTTTTAAGATTGGTCAGTCTGAAGTTTACCTCATCAGTCCTGACACCAAAAAAATAGCGTTGGAGAAAAATTTTAAGGAGATATCCTTTTGCTCTCAGGTAAATGGAGATGGGTTATCAGCTCAATTGCCGTTTGAAATGAATTCTTTTACCGTCATTCAGCAGAAGTGGTTATGGTCACAAGATGTATGCTTTCTAAGTACTGGGCTTGTGATCTTGCATTTCCTTTTGTGTATTAAGGCAAACTATAAATATAATTTTGAAATTAAGAATTTTGCTTTTAGCAACCATAACCTACTGGAGAAAATAGGTCTCCTTTTCTTTTTTTTCAGTTATTGGTAGTAATGTTCCACAGTCATGATTTCCAGGTGTGTGTGTGCGTGTGTGTGTGTGTGTGTGTGTGTGCGTGTGCACATATTTATATATACATTCACACACATAATATTTTTAAGTAGATATTTATTTTTACTTTATAAAAATTCATAACTTTTGGGGTACCAAGATCATTATTTCTTCTTCCTTAAAATATAATAAATAGTGACTACTTTTGAGGATGTTTTCCTCAGAGTACAGTATCTACTTGAGTTCTTGCTTGCAAATCTCCTGGGTGTGTTTCATAGAGAGATTTTGGAGAATCTATCAATTATAACGAGCTATGCCAATTTTGCTCAGGATCTTCCTAGCAAATATGAGTTATAGTTTGGCTACTTTTTAAAAGTCTGACTTATTTTCTTCCATTTTCTCAAAATGAATAAGATATAATGAAAGTCTCATTGTTTGTTGATTTATAATGTGATCTACATAAGAATGCAGCAGGGAATTTTTTCCCCCAAAAGGTGAAAATAAAGAACGTTCCTGAGTAAGATCAAATAGGGAACCACTTTTTCCAAATCATATTCCCCTGAGGAGTAACCAGTAGCATATGCTTAACTTGTGTTGGAGAACATTGGTGGAGATGCCAGGGTATGTCAGTGATTGCCCGTTTATTGGGAAATACTTGCCCTGAAAGTGAGATTCTCCATAGATGTTTTATCTTGATTTGCTGCTATTTGTATTGTAATGTTAGTATTAAATATCTGCTTTTTCATGTGATAGTTTAATTATTTCCTAAAGGGTACAGTTTACAAGTTTACATGATCACCTGCCCTTCAAGCTATCAGCACTCATGTCTCTGCCTGCTGGTGCTTTCAGGAGACGCTGCATATTAATGTTTATGGGTGATGTCTAATCTGTATTAAGGTGGCTCTTAGCTGATATTTTCAAAACAAGCATACATATTAATATTTATTAAAAAGAGCTCTTAGGAAACTATGGTAGAACTTTGGCCTTCATATCTTATGTTTAAAAGCGTCTCTATTTTTTTGTGTGTATAACTTTTGACTCATTCTTCCTACCAGTTTACTTCAGTATTTACATATTTGTTATTTTAGTAGTACGTATGTTTTAAATCTTTTAAACTTTGTGTCTGCATGTGTTTGCGTGTGTGTGCATATGTGTTTGTACGTTAATCTCTCGTCTGCTTATTCCTTGATACCAAAGAAGAATTCTCATTTTTTTGTGTCAGCTTTTCTCCACTTCATTTCACTACTAAAATGAGCAGTAAAAACTCCAGTTTTCAGATCCTACTTCTCTTATTGTGGGGATAATCAGAGTAACATTTTGTAGAGCTTCATATTTGAGAGATGTTTTTAGACATTTAAAATATCTGAGAAAATAATACTTTTATAGTGTCCTTTAAAATTGTGCTGTGTGAATCTTCAGTTGCATGTCTGGCAGTGGTGCCTTTTCTGGATAAAGCTCACCATTCCTTGTTCTTGTCCCTGCCTTCAACAGGGTATTAGACATGTGGACCACTTTGGGTTTATCTGCCGAGAGTCTTCGGGAGGTGGAGGCTTTCATTTCGTCTGTTATGTGTTTCAGTGCACAAATGAAGCTCTGGTAAGTGAGAAGGGGCCGTTCTTAAAGTCTCCTTTGCAAGGGATTTCAGCCTCACTGATTTCTTTACTTAGCAAAGCCATATGGCCTCATTGACATGTTATTTGGCTTTAATTATTCTTTCGTCACTGTTTGATAACCAGCTAGTACATACCCGAGACTTAATTCGATGTGCATTTTCAATTTTCATCATTCTTAAAGGCCTGCTCACTTTCACCCTCTGCTTTAGCATTTTACAAATGTCATTTTGGACTTTTGATCAGAAGAGTTGGTTTTCGTTCAGTATTTAATTTGCGTCTAGTTTTTACCTTATCTCCTTGAAGAGCTTTGAGCATTTGTAGTGTTTCTAGGCTATGTGTAATCCTAGCAGGTATTATGATTATTATTCATTAACCTGTGACTGATAGTCCAGAAGAATCTTAAAGTACTGAGTCTTTCCACAGAGTCCTGAAATCTCTGCCCAGCTCTTTTTTTTTTTTTTTTAATAAATTTATTTATTTATTTTTGGCTGCGCTGGGTCTTTGTTGCTGCGCACGGGCTTTCTCTAGTTGCGGTGAGCGGGGGCTACTCTTCATTGCAGTACGCAGGCTTTCTCATTGCGGTGGCTTCTCTTGTTGCAGAGCATGGGATCTAGGCGCGTGGGCTTCAGTAGTTGTGGCTCGCGGGCTGAGTAGTTGTAGTTCACAGGCTCTAGAGTGCAGACTCAGTAGTTGTGGTGCACGGGCTTAATTGCTCCGCAGCATGTGGGATCTTCCCAGATCAGGGCTCGAACCCATGTCCTCTGCAGTGGCAGGCGGATTCTTAACCACTGCGCTACCAGGGAAGTCCCGTCTGCCCAGCTCATTTTAAATGGACTTTTTGCTGACTATAGTCTCCTCTCTTCGATCAGGTGGATGAGATCATGATGACCCTGAAGCAGGCCTTCACAGTGGCCGCAGTGCAGCAGACAGCGAAGGCGACGTCCCAGCTGTGTGAGGGCTGCCCCCTGCAGGGCCTGCACAAGCTCTGTGAGCGGATTGAGGGTGAGCCGGGGTGGGAGGGTGGCAGGGTGGGCGAGGGCCAGTTAAGGGTCCTGGGCAAATTCGTTGGAAGGTTCTGCCCCTTGGAGGCTTGTGTTAGTTAACAGGGCTCATAGATGGATGTCTTCTGTGTGTCAGGCACTGTGCCTAGGCCATCTCTCCTCAAGGGGCTCTGAGGGCAGTGGAGGAGTAAGGGGACCACAGGGAACAAGACCAGTTGCATTGCTAGCAATGGTGGTGTGAATATGGTCAGTCACTTCAGCTGCCATGGAGGGGTCTCGTAACAAGAGAGCTAAGAATTTCCACCGGGTAAGTCAATTACAGCTTCATCAATAACCTCTGCCGGAACAGTTTTAGTGGAGGCTGTAAGGTAGGTTGCAGCTGAGGAGCCCATGAGAAAGAGCACAGGAAATGATGCTGCGAGTATGGACTACGATTTCTAGAAGTTTGGCTTAGGGAGGAACTGCAGTACATGTTACGGTTTGCATACTTAAGATGTGCCTGGCACTGTACTAAGTGTTTTCTTTAATATGTATTATCATCCACTTAATCCTCACCACCTCTGGGAGGAAAAGGGATTATTTGCACATTTTAGGGATAAGCAAACTTAGTTTCTGTGATTTGGGGATGATAACCATCCTGATGGGTTTGAAGTCGTATCTGATTTCCCTTTTTAAAGACAAATTGACATCATCTTAAGGTCTTTGAAGTTTCATTTGCTGGCATTCCAGTGCTCTTTAAAATGAATCAAAATGATTACCATTTTCAACCGTGTTTTCCTAGCTGTTACTCTTTGCTGACATTATACAAAATATATTTGGGAACAAGAAAACGTGTGCTTTAACAAGAGATCCCATCTGAGAGGATCACTAACCCTTTCCTTAGTGGTTGTCAAGATAAGGTAAATGATGACAGAACTGTCACTTACGAGCTTATTAAGAAGCCAACAGTGACTTTGGCCTTGAAGATAAAGCAGATCCTGATCTGCAGGAACTGGAAGGGTTCCAGAGTTCCACTTGATAACATCTTTCTTTGGTCTGGCTTAGCTTTCAGAAAAATATAGCTGAAAAGTTTAATTGTGGTGGGGATTTTGCTGCTATCGTTTCGGAATTATCATTTCATTTATCTTTTTACTGGATAAAATCCAAGCAAAGCAGAAAGCTATGCTAATGTAAAAACATCCAATAAATAGCGCAATTAGAAGGCTAGTGAGGGTTATATTTTGCCTACCTGATGGGAAGCATTTCTAAAGTATAGATGGCACATTATTAGAGCCATCCTTAGTAGGGGAGATGCTGATTATTTTATGAACAGTTCAAGGTTCTTGCTTTTTGCTATATTGCATTCCTAATAAGTAGAATGAAGTCACTTATTAAAGCTCATTGTATGTTCCCATAGGAGTAGTTCTCATAGGAAGTTATGATCTGGCCAGGAACTCCATAAACTGGAGAGGACCAATGACATGGCAACAAAAAGAAAGAATTAAAGACTGTTTTTGTTTTTTTAAAAAATATATTTATTTATTTGTTTATTTATTTATTTATTTAGGCTGCGTTGGGTCTTCGTTGTTACGCGTGGGCTTTCTTTATTTGCGGTGAGCAGGGGCTACTCTTCGTTGCAGTGTGAGGGCTTCTCATTGCGGTGGCTTCTCCTGTTGCAGAGCACGGGCTCTAGGCACGTGGGCTTCAGTAGTTGTGGCACGCACGCTCAGTAGTTGTGGCTCGTGGGCTTAGCTGCTCCGCGGCCTGTGGGATCTTCCCAGGCCAGGGCTCGAACCCATGTCCCCTGCATTGGCAGGTGGATTCTTAACCACTGTGCCACCAGGGAAGTCCCAAGACTGTTTTTTTTAATAAATTGATATAGTCAGTATGCTCTGGACTCTGTAAAATAGAATAAATACACTGTACGTATGCGTGCTGTTGGACACTTACAACATGTAAGGGGTGCAGCTGTGCTGATTCTGTGTTTGAACTATGTACAACTGCTAGTATTTATATAGTGTTTTGCTTATTTTAAAGTTTAGAGGAGCATTTTGGGAATTCTTGGAATGAATTATACTTTCACTAAAAGGAAAAAAAAGTTTTACTGAGGTTTCCTTTTGCTCTCTAAGTAAATTTGCCTTCAGCAAAGCAAAGGCATTCATCAGAGCTCCCTTTAATAAGAGCCTTTTCAACCAGACAGCGTGAAGGCGGGCTCACTTGCCTCGCTTCTCCCCTCTAAAACCTTTTGGCATCACCTGGGGAGTGCCCCCTTCTTGCTGCAGAAACCCCCGTCCTCCCCCCCCCCACCCCCAAGGCTGAAGGTAGTGAGAAGCCCTGTGGAGGGTGCACAGTGGAGAGCAGGCGCTGGGACCACAAAGACCACCGCTGGTTTGAGATGGGGCAGGAAGGACCTAATGAATTGAGGCACCCTGAAGACAAGGATAGAACTGTCCTAGGATCTCTCCAGACCTGCTGAATATGAAGAGTAGTGTGTATGATTTCACCTGAGATTGTTAGAAGTATATATAATTAGTCTGACTCTTCTTGAGGTTTTCCTCCACATGTGAATGTCTCATCAAGCAGTACAGTGTTTCCAAGAGAGGATGTTTGCACTGTGTCATTGACATCCATATGCAGGGAGGATTTTTATTTAATGATTTCTGAGTGCTAATTTTACTCGTAAATTTAAACACTTTTGATTCAACATGTAAGTAGTTAGTGCAGTAAAGGCATCTCTGTTTGCCTGGCTTGTATGACCTGACAGCTTGCCTGAGGAGTATCTGAACTGTGCTCTTATAAAATTCATCTGTCCTTTCTGCACTTTTACTGACCTCTTTTTTTTCTGATTGAAGAATAGTTGACTTACAATATTATTAGTTTCAGATGTATAACATAGTGAGTCAGTATTTTTATTTCTTATGTACCATACAATATCATTATGACATTATTGACTGTATTCCCTGTGCTGTACAGTACATCCCTGTGACTTATTTATTTTATAACTGGTAGTTTAAATCCCCTGGTACATCTTAATCCCCTTCACCTATTTCACCCGTCCCCCTTCCCCTCCCCCCTGCGACCACTAGTTCTTTGTTAAGTCTGTTTCTGTTTTGTTGTATTTGTTTGTTTTTTAGATTCCACATGCAAGTGGAAACATACAGTACTTGTCTTTCTCTGGCTGACTTATTTCACTTAGCAGTTCACTTCCGTGTTGAAGGCAGTGGCGTCAGGTGGCTTGACTGCCTGGGTAAAGGAGCAGTGGAGTGTCCTAGGGTGGTCTCTGTGGGCAGACAGATGTGGGTCAGATTCTGACTTTGTCCCTTCCTTAGCTGATAACCTTGGGCAAGACATTTGACTTCACTGTGCCTCAGTTTTTTCATCTATAGACCTTGGGATTGCTAAAAATAGTGCCCACTCCAAGGATTATGTTGAGGATCAGATGAGAGTATTTATGTAGTGTTGCATGAAGTGGCACAGCAATCACTTAAGAAATATTGGCTTTTATTTTTATGGTGGCCTCTTAGGGTTTTCTTAGCCAGAAAAAGAAAATGGTGGTGGAAAGAGGAAGGACTTCTGGGAGCTGCAGTGGTTTGAGTAGGGGCAGCGACCCCGCCACCGCCTGTTAGGAGGGTGAGGGCCCTGCCTTCTGTTGCAGGGGGCGGGATGGGTGAGCGAGGAGCCCTGGCGCTGGGGCAGGCTTGGCTGCTGATTGGCCTCCTGAGCTGTCAGTTGCCTGGCTTCTCCGGACCTCAGCAAACTCATCTGTAAAACAGAGGCCTGGTTTCCAAGTCCCTGTTCGTGATTTCAGAGCTGTCCCCTCTGGCCATCCTAGTAATGTAGATAAATCTGGCCCAGAGGCTTGACCAAGGCCCTGCCCAGTGGCTCACACTCAGGAGGAGAAGACGGGGTGGCATGTGGTTGGGGACAGGACTGCCCTTGGAATAAAAGTAATCAGCAGCAGTTTTTATTCCACGATAGTTAGGTCAACAGATCCTTTCATCCCAAATCTTTTCATCATGGGTGGCATTTACCTCTGGCGCCAAGAAAAGGCAAAACAGGGTCTGAGCCATATATGTGTGGAGAAGGAACTTTCTGAAATACCAGATTCTAATGGACATTAAAATTGCAACTTTATTTTAATGACTTTCCCTCAGAATCCTTTGTAATGTTATTTAAGTGGCCATAAGACTATTACTAAGCATGTGGTGGTAAAGGGAAAGTTGTTAGCCACACAAATCACTTTCTTGTGAAACAGCCTACCTAGCCTAACCTGTAAGAGAAGAATGTTGGTCAGTTTTCAAATGGGGCAGTAGTTGTTTATCCTTAAGGGAGATTTTCTAGTTTACATATAAATACTCCCTGAGAATTTACCGTTTCCTGCGGACAATGTTCTGGTTGTGTGAGGTGTTCTAACATGGAGTAGTGGCGAAAAAAGGCAATTTGGAACCACACAAAGCTGTGTGGTTTTTTCGCCTACCGCAAAAAAAAAAAAAATGTTGCTTGTTGTCAGGGTCATCATCATCACTGATATTATTGATTAGAATTTCCATAAAACCTCAGAAGGCTGAAGAAGGTGGTTAAGCCATGTAAGAGGGGGGAGTGAGCATGGGAAGTGTTAACTCTACCTCGTAACTGTTACCTAGAGTGTTCTCATGTCTCTTTTTTTCTCTTGATAGGAATGAATTCTTCCAAAACCAAACTAGAACTCCAGAAGCACCTGACAACATTAACTAATCAGGAGCAAGCAACTATTTTTGAGGAGGTTCAGGTACAGTACTGGTTTTAAATTTCCAGAAGGAAGAAAGGAGGCAGCTTCTCTGTGAAATTTTATTTATAAAAAATAGCAAAGCAAACCTGTCAGATCCCCAAGGAAATGGGCCTGAGTTCCTCTAGGTTTAAGCTTTAACAGCCTCGGGACAGGGGCCAGGTCAGAATTGCAGATTCCTATCAGGGCTTGGTTTTTCATGTGAAAACTACTAAACCAGGGGAACTCTCCCTTAAGGAACGAGAGAAAGGAAATAATAAAGTGGAGAGAGCCTCAGCCTGGGAGACAGGGGACCTGGATTTTAGTCCCTGAGCACTGCTCTCCCTGGGAGACCTCTTTTTCTTTTTCCTCGGTATGCGGGCTTCTCACTGCTGTGGCCTCTCCCGTTGCGGAGCACAGGCTCCGGACGCGCAGGCTCAGCGGCCGTGGCCCACGGGCCCAGCCGCTCCGCGGCACGTGGGATCTTCCCGGACCGGGGCACGAACCCACGTCCCCTGCATCGGCAGGCGGACTCTCAACCACTGTGCCCCCAGGGAAGCCCTCCCTGGGAGACCTCTGCTAGCTCCTTCCCGCTTGGGATTTCAGCCCTAAGTGTGAGAGTCTTAAGGATATAACATTTTGTACATGAAACTGAACATAATTTTTCTCCCTCGCTTTTTTTCAGTTTTGAAAATAAATTTAGGTGTTACCTACTACATGGTATATCAAACCTAAACATAAAAACAAAATACAGAAGAAAACCCAAGCTCATCGGTTTTCTGCATTAAGCCTGGAACCGCACTGTCGTCCTTGCGTTTAGGTGCGCTTATCTCGGGAGACCACACTGTGTGTGCTGGCATGCCCATAGTCTGTTCATTATGGATCTTTAATGAGCTCATCAAAAATTTCATGTCTGCTTTAGCCGAGGGGCATTTTCTGTGGTTTTGTGGCACTTTTCTAGGGAGCAGAGTGCATCAGAACAAAGCATAAGTGTCTAGTGGGGAGAGGGGAGTGCCAGGGGTTCTGCACACGGAGAAGTCTTTAAACAAAGCAAGACGGCTAGCAAGTCTAGACTGTAGGTTCTCTCTCCCTCTTCACTGAGGGAAAGGCTACAGACAGGGCCCGTGATCTGTCTTCTGTTAGAGTGAAAAATTAAAGAATTGGCTTTGTCTTTTTAATCACATGTCCGAGTTCTCCTTCCCTTGACCTTCTGCAGTAGGATTGGCCTATGTATGTTTGAAGGAGAGCATAGGAAGAATTTTTTTAATTCCATAAATAGCTTAGAATGTAACTTTCACAATTTCTAATTGCCTTTCAGTTTTCTTATTTTCTTTGCAGTGGACTTGAGACACACTACTTTGTTTTTTCTTAAAGGATCTTTAGCGTTCTGAGTACACAGTACTCTCAGACAAATTTAATGTGGTTTGTACTTGGAATTCATAAATGGATGGGCAATTTGCTTCTGATTGTTAATGCATTTGTGATGGGAGCTGGGTCCTCTTTCTTTTTTTAAAAAAATTTATTTTATTTTTGGCTGTGTCGGGTCTTCGTTGCTGCGCGCAGGCTTTCTGTAGTCGCGGCGAGTGGGGGCTACTCTTCGTAGCGGTGCATCGGCTTCTCATTGCAGTGGCTTCTCGTTGCAGAGCATGGGCTCTAGGCACGTGGACTTCAGTAGTTGTGGCACACAGGCTCAGTAGTTGTGGCTCACGGGCTCTAGAGCGCAGGCTCAGTAGTTGTGGCACACGGGCTTAGTTGCTCCGTGGCATGTGGGATCTTCCTGGACCAGGGCTCGAACCCGTGTCCCCTACGTTGGCAGGTGGATTCTTTTTTTTTTTTCTTTTTTTGTGGTACGTGGGCCTCTTACTGTTGTGGCCTCTCCCGTTGCGGAGCACAGGCTCTGGGCGTGCAGGCTCAGCGACCATGGCTCACGGGCCTAGCCGTTCCGCGGCATGGGGGATCTTCCCGGACCGGGGCACGAACCCGTGTCCCCTGCACCGGCAGGCAGACTCTCAACCACTGCGCCACCAGGGAAGCCCTGGCAGGTGGATTCTTAACCACTGCGCCACCAGGGAAGCCCAGGGCTGGGTCCTTTTTCATCTGATGCTAGCCCACTTTGCTGTTTTAGTGCCATCAAGTCACGTTGGGGAATATCTTTCTAGCAAGCATAGAAGATGCTTCCTCCCCTATTGTGAGTTGGTTTTCTTTTTTATTTAGATAGCACTGTGTAGCTTTCCCCAAAACAGTGTGGTGAATCAGGATAGGTAATACCCCAGATACCCTTCTGCAGCAATGATTATGTTCCTGATGGATGTGATTTTGAGATTCTCTTTGATCCATGTGAGTGTGAGACACTCAATATATAAAATGGCAAAGAGACTTTAGAGAAAATCAGTGACAAAAGTTTGCTTTAAAAAAATGGATTCAGTTAATATCCTGGGATCCCTGTGTGGTGTTGTAGAAGGCTCTGTAATTTTTTGATTGGTTTAAAGACCAAAGGGAAGTCATTGTTCATTGGCTTTGAGAAGCCGGCTCGTACTTTGTCCTCCATCATTGTAGGTGTGGCTCTTTTTTGAATAATACAAATTTAACATGGATCTCTTCTTCTGATGGCTTGCTTATTGGTAGTCTTATTAAATTATTTACTCAATGACCATTCTTGTTTTTTATAACATATTTTATAAACCAAGTCACTAGTTTCTTTTTAGATAGTAGTTCCTGCTAATGCATTTGAAAATCATGCATTTCAAACAGATCATAAGGAAAAAGGTGGCTTTGCAGTGTCATGATACCTCTTTTAAATAGAATGGTTAATATTTTCCTTTGTATGGTTTTTTTCCTGGAGAATGACTTGTTTCTGAGGAAATTCTCCAAGGGCAAATTTTTATAGAACAAATGTAATTACTATTGAAATCAATAGTACATGATTGCTTAAATAGTTATTAAAACATATATATTCAGTGTTTTTGTAAATAAATGTTTCATGCCAAAAAAAAAGTGCAACCCAAACAGAACCATAAAGAAAAAGAAATCATTAATTACTGTGCAGATGATGCTGGGGAATTATCACTGCTGCAAATAAGCCGGCTTTGACTTTGAGCTCTGTGAGGAGAACTTGGTGCCAGATGGGCCTGTGGGTGTGCTAACCCTTCTAAGAGGACTCAAGACACTGCAGAGCCACTTTTTAATTTAGGACCTTTTTGAAGTGTACATTTTCCAAACATGTCTAAGTGGGCAAATGAGAATGTGACCCTTGGGTGGGGTCTGGCTCTGTCCAGGTGCTGTCCCCTGCTGGCTGGGTGTGCTGAGTTTCCATCGGTCGTCCTCAGGGAGAAGTTGCTTTCAATCTGAGTTGGGCTAGTAAAGAAACTGTCTCAAAGTCGAATTCTCTTCATCTGAATGAGTGTATTTCAGGGAATGACTTAATTAATGCTCAGTAGGTAAATCCAGTAGATTTATAGTCAGTAGATGTCGATAACGGATTAAATAATGTGACTTTTCACAAGTTAAAGATAAGTGGTTGGAGGAATTTTTTTCACTTTGTACAGAATATAGAGCAGCTTAATTGGATTTTTCCATGGTTTTAAAATTATTTTTTACAAGATTTCATTATACTTTTTAAAAAAGATGTCCGGCTGTAGTCCAGGTGAGCACTGCCGTTTTCAGTAGACTCCTCAGAAGACCATAGGCTTTCTCAGCATTCTGGTATTCATTAGGCAGTGTTAGAAATGGATTTCAAATTGCTTGTACAACCAATTTATAGGCCCGCCCTCATAGAAATGAGGTTGAGAAACACGTAACAACATTGGCTTTGTTGCTTTTAACAGGCAATTAGTTGTTTTATATTGTTCTTTTTTTAAAAATGAAATATAACTATAGAAAAGCACACAAATCAGTGGTATGTAGTTCAATGAAATTAAAAAATTTTTTTTGAGATATAGTTGATTTATAATGTTACGTAAGTTTCAGGTGTGCAACGTAGTGATTCACAATTTTTAAAGGTTATACTCTATAATTATTATAAAATATTGGCTGTATGTCGGTGAATTTTTCAAAATATTTATTTATTTATTTATTTATTTTTGGCTGTGTTGGGTCTTCGTTTCTGTGCGAGGGCTTTCTCTAATTGCGGCAAGCGGGGGCCACTCTCCATCGTGGTGCGCGGGCCTCTCACTATCGCGGCCTCTCTTGTTGCGGAGCACAGGCTCCAGACGCGCAGGCTCAGTAGTTGTGGCTCACAGGCCTAGTTGCTCCGCGGCATGTGGGATCTTCCCAGACCAGGGCTCAAACCCGTGTCCCCTGCATTGGCAGGCAGATTCTCAACCACTGCACCACTAGGGAAGCCCTGTCAGTGAATTTTTATAAGATGAATACACCTGTGCAGCAGCACGCAGGTTAGGAAATAGAGCATGTCCAGTCCCTCCGATCCCCGCCTTGGTCCTGCCCCAGGTGACCACCATCCTGACTCCTGACTCCGTAGGTTAACTTTGAGTAATAAGCAAGTTAATTTTTGACTGCAAAGGGATGTTATCCAACTTCATTCCCCATTATTTTCCTCAGACCTGTCTCTCTGTCATGAATGTTTATAAAGTTAAATCATCTTCAGGAAATAATGATTTGTCCCTTTGCAGGATGGTGAAGTTCCCTGGGAGGCACTCAGGAGATGACACCTTGCTAATCGTTTTCACTAAATAGCAGGGTAGCCCCTAGTCATGTTTCAGTTATTTTAAGAAAGGGTTTATTTCTTGACCTTGTATGACACCACAGACATGATCTTCTCAGCCTCACTGACTTTCCCCTGTGATGTTTAACGAGCATTTAACGAGCTCCTTGATGCAGTGTCTGGGCAGCAGCTGTGGTAGTACATTGTGCTCAGTTTAGTCTCATTTTCTGTTCATTCAAGTAGTTTCTTTCATGTATATGCTGAGAGAAAGAGAATGTATTAATAATGCTCCTCTCCTGTTACTGCATTCTTAGCCTTTTTTGATATGTTGAAATATGTGATTACGAAGAATTTCTCCAACAAAAATACAAATTTTCTTGTGAGAGCAGCCCAAAGGTTTGATTGAAGAATAGGAGAAGAAAGAATGGGTCAGCTCTTGGGTGCCTGCTCAGAGGCTTCGTAATTCCTGCCTGCTTCTCTTTCCTGGACTTTAAAATATGTATATACTTTATTTTTTAGAGTAGTTTTAGTTTTACAGAAAAAGTTGGTAGAAGTACAGAGAGTTCCCATAAAACTTCTCATGCCCTTCCCCCAAGCCAGTTTCACCTATTAATATCTTGTCTTAGTGTGGTACCTTTATTACAATTGATCAGCCAATATTGATACGTCTTTAGTGATTAAAGTCTGTAGTTTACATTAGGGTTAACTCTTGGTGTGGTACATTCTGTGGGTTCTGACACATGTTTGATGGCATGTATCCACCATTAGAGTATCATACAGAATTGTTTCACTGCCCTAAAGATTCTCTATGCTCCACCTTTGCACTATTCCCCAACCCCCTACCTCTGGTCCACACCCCAGGCAACCACTGATCTTTTACTGTCTCCATAGTTTGTCTTTTCCGGAATGTCACATAGTTGGAATCATACTGTTTGTGTAGCCTTTTTTTTTTTTTTTTTGCGGTATGCGGGCCTCTC